AATTTCAAGTTATACATTTCAATCTGGATGTTATTTGTGAATTTTAATTTTAACTTGTATTTTAACTTTGTGTTTCTTATTGTTGTCTTTTAATGGTGTTTACCTCCTGTTTTGATGATGTTGTATCCCACCTTGAGCCGCAGGGAGAGGGTGGGGTGGGGGTAATATTATTACTAGTTGTACTATTATAATTATTATATACATACTGAAAGGTCCGATTATCTATCTCATTTTGGAAACTAAACAGGTTCAGTTCTGGTTAGTAATATGGAAGTAGAACTGCCAGAGAATCTCAAGTGCTGTAGGGTATATTTTAGAGGGAGGCATTGGCAAGCTTCCTCTGAGTTGCTTGCACACACAAGTGCACATGTGCAGGGACACACACAAACACACAGACCAATTGTCTTTTCCTTGCTCTTGTTTCAATGATTTATTGTTTACGTTGGTTTTTTAAAATTGTATTTTTGCAGCTTTAATTGGAAAGTCACCTTGGGTAGGGCTGCAAGGTGAGGCAGAAATCTTCTAAAATATATGAAAAGTATACAGTTTTTAAAATAGCTTCAGGTTCACATGTGAAATGACATGAAATTGTAAGGTAAGATTTAGAGTTGTCACTGCTGCATATTCTAAGCACATCACATTTGAGAATTCTCGGTGTACATTCTGCCTGTTTAAGTGCTGGATCTCAACAGTCTTGAGGAAATATTTTCTCCTTTACAAGCTACAGCAGGAAAATGCCATGATGTATTTACTGTTGCAGAAGGCATCTGTCTGAGTACAGTGTGAAATATAGAAGACTTTGTTACTGTAATAAAATGTAATTGTTTTCTATGGTGGCGAAGAGGGTAATAACATAATCAAACAAGAAACTGCTGTCATGGTTAGAAGTAAGAACTAAAAAGTGGAAGATTTTTTCCTCCTAAAGACTATCATTTGTTATTAGCACAGTGAATACAGCAGAGCTGTGGGAGAGATGCAGAGAGAACAATTTGCATTCAAGCTGTAACCTACTCACTTTCTCTTATATACATTAAAGCAAGCTTTTCCTCAAAGATTCCTATATTCTTACATACATATATACTTTTTGGTGGGAGAGAATGTTAGGAATATGTTATCAGATCCTCCTCTTCCTCCTTCCTCCAGAAACAGGAATAAACAGAGTTTTGAGTACAGAACGGTTGTGAAACAGACATATCCATCCCAACAGGTAAATGCTAGTTTAGGAAATTAGCAATATATTAGCAATGAATTTATCTACAGATAGATAAGGTGTGTGTGTAGATAGATAGATAGATAGATAGATAGATAGATAGATAGATAGATAGATAACAGAACAAAAACAACCACCCTCAAATTGTTTGTGGACTTCTCTAGGGACTTCATCCTACGCAGTAAAATCAGTGTTTCTACACATTTAAGAAACGGCAACCTGCGGTGCCCTTCACATGACACAAGCTCCAACCATGGGGTTGAGGTATTTTGCCATTTCTAAAGTGTTGGTTTCCCCAACAATTCCTAAACTGATTGGCAACTGACTTTTTTTAAATTCCCCGCATAGAGATGGGCAAGATGGCCAATTTTGCCATGTGATGTTAATCCCTGTTACATGCTTGTAAATAAAACGATGATGCCACGTGTAGGAGGAGTCAAAATGCCAATTTCTCTTATAATCAACAATGGAGAGACTTGGGGCAAAGATCAGGGTTAATTTAAAACCAATTCCTATGATCTAGAGTGATTTTTTAAAACAAAAGATAAATAATCAAAATCCTGGAGGGAGAATGGTAAGAAACAAATTTCTACTGTGTAATGGCAAATCAAATGGATACATCATAAAGAAAGCAGAGAAAACGAGGTGATATGATGAGGGTAGGAAAATCACCCATTTAATTTCCAAGGGAAAACCAAGAATCCCAAATACTTTACTTATCTCATAGGATGAAGTCATAGGATCTCCAGTGCTATTATATAATATGCTTCCAGCCCAATTATAGTCAAACTATAGGGTTCATCATTATCCACAGTATCAAGTATGCATGGGTGTGCTTGGAATGCATTCCCTGTGGATATGGGAGTTGTGTTGTACACTGAAATAAAATATTTGTGGGGGAAAATACAAACAGAATCTAATTACAGGGAATACCCATAATGATTTAAATTAATTTATTATAATTGTAATGTCAACCTATTTATTTATGCTACTCAGACATGGTCAGCAACAGGGAAGGAGTGCCAGGTCGCTCAAAAGGAGCAGAAATAAATAAACAAATAAATAAAGAGGAAGGGGGCTCATGGACCAGATTGTTGTCCTCGCGGCCCACTGGTGATCCACGGCCCACAGGTTAAGAACTACTACACTAGAGCATGGATCCACTTAAAATCCGGTTGCTGCCTCCTGCAGAATTCTGGGGTTTGTAGTTCAGGGAGGGGTCTTTAAATGGCTCAGCCAGAGAGTCCTGGGTCTCCCTAAATGACAAACCCCAGAATTCAGCAGGAAGCAACACCTGGATTTAAAGTGGATCCATGCAAGGTGTCTCAGTTGAAACTTTATCACCAATTCTTGTTTCCACAACTAGCCACATTGTTCAAAATATAATTATCACAGTGGCAGAAAGTGAGGTGAAATCTTTTGAAAATGGGGACTGGCAGAAAACAAACATCACATATATATGGAGTTACACTTAATAAATGTACCTGTTCTGGCTTACATACAAATTCAACTTAAGAACAAACCTACAGAACCTATCTTGTTCATAACTTGGGGACTGCCTGTATGTAACAGAAAGGATTCTAGGCCTGCATTATCTATGTTATTGAAAGAAAATGTTGAACTATCTCTCTGTCACAGTCATTTTATCCAGGACAATGAAACCCAGACATCTGATCACACTAAGAGGACTGTACAACATGCAGGGGAGCATTTGGTTGCTAAATTATATTATAAAATTCTAATAAATCTACATGAATGTTGGAAAATGGAATGCTGGCGGACAGCAAAAGAGATTTAACGATGGGGTAGCCTTTAAAATGTGAATAAACACAGAGAACTGGGAGGCCCTGGCCCTCGAATGTTGTAATTGGAGGTCAGCTGTTACCAACAGTGTTATGGACTTTGAGGAAGCATGAATAGAAGGCAGAAGGGCGAAATATGCCAAGAGGAAGGCGCACGAAGCAAACCCTTTTTTTGACTGCCTACCATCCGGAAACGTATGTCTTCACTGTGAAAGATCATGTACCGTATATCCAGAATAGGTCTCTACAGTCATTTATGGATCCACCACCAATACTCCATACTTGGAAGCCAATCATATTCAGCCATGAGTGATAGCCTATGATGATAGCCTAGCATGCACTATCCTCCTTAATCACTCAGTGACAGATTTTTATAATCAGTGCATAGGTTTACAGTTAATGCATCATGAGGCCCAGGGGAAGTAGTACAATGAGCAGTGTTACAGAGCTCTATTATGGGACAGCCTTACCTCTTGGGAATGGAGTGACTGGATCCCTCTTGTGGAATAGAGTGGAGTCCAGGGGTAACATGAATTTCATGCAGACTGGCAATGGGTTCAATTCTGCTGCGTAATTTTGGTATCTTCATAATATTGAATCAAAGGCTTCTACATTTGCAAATTTCAAAATACTTCGTGGTAGTTTGTGCAATGACATATCCTCTCACATTGGAAGTGCTGTGACTTAATTCAGGATTTCTGATATGAAAAAGAAAATAAATATTGCGTGAGTGTGTGAAAATGCATACATAAAAATAGAATCCCAGAGACAAAAATATGTTGCATATTCTATCTTCATCACTCTTTCAGTAGACTGACTGTTTGGCATGGCCCTTTGAAATTGCTGGATTAACATTTGCGCGACAACAAGAAGATGCAAATCACCCTGCATTCCCACGACACCAATGAGATCCAGATATATCCATTCTACTTCAGAAGAGCTACATTTTTTCATATTGAGCTCTGTGTTTACTTTCAGAAATACTGCATAGAGTGCTATTGATGCATAAAGTCAATGTTTATTTAAAATGATGCATTGCTGGTATGACTCCTAATAATATGAGAATGTGGACAGTTTTTGTGATGATTATTGCTCAGGGTCAAGGCCTATGTAGAAAAGCACTCAGTACAATAGTACTTTCTCTGAATTGTGTATTAAAGCAGTCATGCTGCAAGTAGATAACAGTGATTAGTGACCTTTTAAAAATATATATATGAGAAAACATACTGTTATATTTATAATGTGAAATTCAGGGGTATCATGGAAAACTTTATTTTTTCAGTGTGTGGTACTTTAGTTTTCATGGTGACCACTAACTTTGAGTCAGCTGGTGTGGTGATTGACAGATACATATTTTAAAATAAATTATAATTATAGAAGAGAAAGAAAAGAAATATTCGACAAGCTGGTTTGGCAGGCTGTTCCCTGCTGCTTATTCATTTTTCTCCTTTCAGACCCTCATCAAATTCAGTATCCACATGAAATCAATCCACAATAGCATTTATGTACTGTAATTATGCTAGCTTGTTTCAACCACAATGGTTTACAACTTCATTTGGGATTTTTATTATATGCAGAAAAGATGTAAAGATGAGCATGTTATTATGGTACCCAGAGTGTGGAGAAGTTTCTTACTTGGTTTAGACTTGTTGAATTATCCAGCCTGCATGACTTTAGGCTTTGAGGACCAATGGCTTTGGAGGTAACATTTCAAAGTTCCGATAGTAAGAGATTATGCCATTTTGGTATAAACCAATAGCCTTTGACTGTGACCATTGGGGAAGAATATTGAATGACATATATTTCATAATAAACCTAAATATATGTGTAATGTATTTAATAATATAGACCTGAATCTAATATCCTGCCACCAAACATCTGCTAGTTCAAGAGCACTTTCTTCTTATCAGTGATGACATTGAATTCAATGGGATTTGAATCTGCTCTGAATTTTAGACCAAACCTTAAAGGGCCTATTGAAGGCACAGATGCCCATGTCTTACTTAACGTGCACACTTTATATACTGAAAGGATGGACTGGAGTGGAACACTTGGAGGAATATCTGAGTTATGTGGTCTACCTAATGTGGCTCTTTACACCACTGCTCATAGCTTTCCTGCTTCCGGTGATCATTCTTTTCCTTCTTTATGTTTCCATTATCATCCTACATATTTATAAGAGACAAACTGACCTAAAGGAGGCATATTTGAATAATTTCTTCAATAATTCCTACAAAATTTGGGATAGTTGATGCCGAATCATTGTCTCATTAACATACTCTTCTTTCTTCTTTACCACCCCCAAAATGCTCCAGAACTTTCAACAGCTCTTGACACAAGTTTTTGGTGGAGTTTTAAGAGTTTCCAGAAATTACTGGATTCTTCTGATGAAAGCAATTCCATAAGTGGAACATCATCAGTTGTTATTGTTTGATAATAGAGACAAGCCCTTATTGAAGAATCCTAGTTTCTTGAAACATGGTGTGAAAACTACTGATCTAGTTCAGTATAATGTTGAAAGGTATCATATTTGGAAAACAGCTAAAGGTACATCATGCTCTGAAGGGCCACATTGAGTAACAGCCACCACTGGCTGGCTATGCTTACTCTTCCACAGTGAGTGGGAACATTCCCTGGATTACCCCCTCAGAACTGTAGCACTAATACTGGGAACAGCAATCTTTACCTATCCCCTGGTGCACAATTACAAACAGCAAATTGCTAGCGGCTGGTTATTTCATTTGCTTGGCTGTTTGGCACCAGTGAGTGAGCAAGCAATGATGGTGCCTAAAGGAACAGCAGGCTTCATTTGCCATATTGCCATGCTCGGTGACGTCTGCTCCTAGCTACCTCTGTGGCTTACTTGTCCATTTGACTGAGTAAATAGGTGAGTGCTCAACATACCAGCATATTTTCTGACACAGTGGGTAAGACATAGAGCACCACCCTTTGCCAGGGGCCATATTGGCCTCAGGATATTGTCAGTAGAAATTCAAGAAGCTAACTTTTCCAAGTTCTGCAATAAAGTCATTTCCTACATTCAGGGATAAATTGTCATCTGTCAAGTGTTGTTACATGCATGTGTATAAAATATGCATACAAACTTGAGTTGTTCATGCTGTCCCTATTTTTTAAATATCTGCCACCGAAACAGCGAGTGTTCCTTCTCTCTTCTTTAACAGTCTTGCTTGCACATTTTTGATCCTGATGAATAGTGTGGGAACAAAATGTTTATACTGAATTAATTCACTGAATTTGCCATATCCTAACAAGTAATTAATCCACAAGCTTTTAAAAGCAGGGGTCATACGATAAAAGCAAAGACCAACCGAAAAGCCTTCTTTGTAGGAATGTACCGTCTATCTTAAATGAATAGTGGTGAGAAAAAAATCTACTGCCAAACCTCCCAGGAAAGCAAACCTAAGTGCTAACTTTGGTAATCATAATTGTTGTTTGTAATTTGGTTGTCTTAATGATGCATATTCCCACTTATCTCTATTAGCCCTGTGATTAAATGTCAGAAGCATATTCACATCAGCTTCTGGCTACGAAACCCTACCTGTCAGTTTGCAGAAAGCATAAGTAATTAACTTCCAGAGACACCTCTACCCTTTCAGGGGGAAAATAGGCTTTTAAAATTTATGCCATGTCACAGCACAGGAGTAGAATCCATCCACTGTATGCATTTACAATGAGGCTGGGAAAAAGCAAGTTTTACCATCCTGACAAGAGTTAGGAGCCTGGGTCTTAAATGTATACAATTTAATTTTTTTATAGGCATCTTGAATTGGGCATGCAGGAGCAAATTCATCCAGCTTACATAACTTACAGGATTCCCTGTCTTGGGGAGGAAGATGATTGGAGTCAGCACTGGTAATGTTTGGATTTGTCACAGGTTTGATATATTAGAAGAACAGCCAGGATGCCTCCTTGCTAATTGGGATTAACTTATTTTAGACCAGGCAAGACCTTATTTATGCAATGGTCTTTGTGAAGAATGATTTTCTGAAAATATGATTATCTGCTCCTGTTGACTTTGTCACTTGTCTTAACTACTCATCAAGTTGTGGTAGGAAGTTGTGGTAGGAAGAGACTTCAGGATGAAGTGAATTACTGTCTGGGCACATATAGAAAACCAACCAATTCAACTGACCAAACACATGGGAGGTGAGGAAATAATTTTTGACTTTAGCAAATTAAAATGGATAGCATTTATTGACCTCTAAGCAGCTTTGTTTTGTCAAGAAAAGCTTCATAAAGCCAACAATCAATATTTGCCAGTAGATGCATATATTTGTTATTATTGTTATTTCAATAATTTATATACCACCTTTTTCCCAGAGTGGGACTCAAGGCGGCTTACAAAAACAAGGTTAAAAAAATAGATGCTACACAATGTAAACACCATTCTAATTATATTATATATTTTAATTTCAGATAAAATATACAAAAAATAAAATATATTTAAAACATTCTCAATAAAAACCCATACACAATATATCAAAAAGTTTGTTTACATAAACATGTTTTCATTTTAGAGCAGGAAGGGGGTCAAACTAACTCACGCCGAAGGACATTCCAGAGTATGGGAGCAGCCACTGAATGGCATTCTCCCGTGTCCTCACCAAATGAGGTGGTAAGACCAAGAGAAGATCTTTCCCCATTGGTCTTAAGGTTCTGGCTGGTTAGTATGGGGAGATATGGTCTTTCAGATAGTCTGGACCTAAACTGTATAGGACTTTATAGATCATGACCAGCACATTGAATTGTGCTCAGAAACAAACCAGTAGCCAGTCCAGTTCTTTTAATGAGGGAGTTATATGGCCCATTTAGTTGACTTGTAGTTGTACAATAGAAAGAAGTGGTAATGTTTGTGGGAAATGGAAACTTACCTTAGTGAAAACGGGAATAATAATCTTACAATAGGTTTCATAGAGCAAATTTTTATTGGTGGAATTAAAAACTGTGAGATCCACAAAAGTTCTGAGAAAGAGGTAAAAGTCGACTTTATTTTGAAATCCAGTGGTGAAATCTGAAGCTATTTTGGATTCTGGAATAGCCTCCTGTTGTCCCTCCTAGGTTATTTTTATATTAACATTTTTCCGTCTTAATCCAAAGTGCCTCTATAAGTCCCCAAAGTAAAACTTTGCTCTGACATTAGGAAAGCTTGCACATGGAGACTAGCTGGTAGTTGCTGCATCTGACAGCCCTGAAAGCAATGGCTTCTTGCCACACAGATCGAATTTTTCAACCTCATCACATGGAGGCTGAGAAGCATCTTCTCCCCACTTCTTGGGGCTACTGGTATGGGGTCCACTGGAGCCCATCAGATGACACTGGCCTACTTCTGGTGGGGCTCCATTGGGCAGTGTACTGGTAGCACAGAGACACAGAGGCCTGAGGAATCAAGTATACAGTGGAGAAATATCATGAGAAGGGATTCCATGACCAACTATGGCAAGAGGATGAAGCGGTACACTGCCCCATGCATGCCCCACTGTCCCCCGACTTCTTGGCCTCCATGTGATAAGGCCCTTATTGTGAGGGAACAATATTCACAATAAGAGTCCAAGGACCAGTCTTGCATATGTTTTAAGATTCAATAAGCAGTTTTACAAACTTTACATTTTAAAAAAAGCCATGTTTTTCATCTTTTGGGGGTCATTGACTGGTGGTGTTCATTGTGGAACACCCTCTCCAATGACTGCTGATGCCCCTTGCTTGGTAGGCATGTTTGTTTTCAACTCCCACTGCTCTCCATCCAGCGGCCATGTTGCTGGCCTTATTGTCCCAATGAAGGACTCCTTCAATGCTTTGGCCTCTAATGTGATTTTATTGGAGGGGGACAGAGGCAGGGAGGGCTTCTATTTAATTGTGTGTGGTTGGATAAGCAAGACTCTACTGTAATTAACTTTTTTTGAGAAAGAAAAATCCTCCCTTGACAGATACTTTCTGGAAACTTTAAAAGAATGTCCTTTGAAAGTGACCTTGGAACATGACCAGAAACCCTAAATAATTGCACTGCTAAAGTTACATCATTCTTCCTCATTCTGTTAATGTTGTAAAATGGCTCCACCACAATGTCATGACTTGAAAGTAACTAGCTACAGGTAAATATGTTACTTGTAACTCATTAATCCCAAACTCTGGAAGAATGGAATGCCAGCCAGCACCACATAAGTACTTTCTCTTTGATAGGATCACTGCCAGTGAACTGCATTATTTTTATTAGAAATGTGTTTTTAAATTGTGAGCTGATTTTTATTTTGTTTCAATCACTCAGCTTTGCATTTTAATGGTACTCTTATTTTATTTGACAGTTTTGTGAACTACTTTGTGTGCCTGTATTTGGGAGATCCTTTGGATTGTACTTGTCTCTTGGATGCATCCCAGTTGCAGTCCTTCCCTACATTGTTAAACATTTTTTTCTCAAAACCATAAGTAGCCTCTAGTCACTTCAAGGGTGTGTGGACAATTTTAGAAATCTGTTCAGGCCTCAGAAAACCCCGGGGGCCTGAAAATTATCTTCTCCTGTTTTATAGCCCAATTTGCATATAGAAATAAACCAGTCATTAAGAAAGAAAGCCAATATAATTTTATACAAGCTCTTTGAGACAGCCATCATGGTATAGTGGATTGAGTGCTGGACTCTTAGAGGCTATCGTTTGAAGCTCTACTCAGCCATGGAAACCCACTGGGTGCCCTTGGGCAAGTCAAACTCTGTTTCAGAGGAAGCCAATGACATCCCTCCTTGAACCAGTCTTGCAAGAAAATACTATTGTAATTTTGACTTTAGGGTTGCAATAAGTCAGAAACAACTTGAAGGCACATAACAACAAACTTATTGTCTAATTGTCTGTTTTGAACCATACTTTTCACCCAGAGGGGCCTGAATTTTGTCATCTGCTTGTGCATTACAATTGAAAGTTAGTTGTTCATATTATCTTGGTATTGAAGCCAAATAGCATTCTCTCAGCTGTAGCACATAATCATCTTTTTTGGTCTGAAGTAGAGGAAAGGGAATTAGTGGAGTTATTTACAAATGAAGAGGCATAATTTATAGCCCAACACCAACAGCCATAACTGATGAGCATGTATGAAAAGTCAAAGCACTACCAGAATGAACTATCCTCAATTTCTGTGTAAAATGGAGTCCCTGCGGATGGCTGACCAAGGCCCCATCTACACAGCCATATAAAATCCAGATTATTTGCTTTAAACTGGGTCATATAGCAGTGTAGACTAATATAAT